CCTCACCAATATTTTGAAGGTAATCTGTTTTCAATTACGTGTATTAAGTTCAAGCAATTTACTTATCTGTTTTTGTAGAACTGGTACCTAACGGTACTGATCCAAAATTATGTGATGGTATTGTTTACGACGGAGCAGCTCCTTTCCATTTTATTGCTCCTCGTAATAGCAAAACATTTCAAGAATATTTTTAATGAGAGCTTAAACCTTACGTTGAAAAAGATGCCGCAAAAATGGGAGCTAAGCGCATCGATCTTGTTTGGGATCAATATTTAATTAATAGCATTGAAAATGCTGTACGCCAAGAACGAGGACATGGCATTCGCTGCCAAGTAACCGGTGCTACTAGACTTCTACAAAATTTGCTGGATTTTTTAAGAAACTCATTAAACAAAATTGATCTCTTTAATTTTTCAGCAAAATCTTTCAATGCAATAGAAGGTAAGGTAGCATGGTACCAACATAGGTGACACAATCCACTCGTCAGCAAACGTGAATTCGTCACTCAGTACTCAGTGGTCTAAAATGTAGTAATAAAGAGGAAGCATCAGATGACAGAATGATATCGATATTACATTTAAAGAACACGGTGCAGCAAGGCTCTCAGAATCTAGTAGTATGCGGACAGTTTATACTGATGTGATAGTGCTGTATAGCTTTTTACTCATGACTCAAATCTCTTGGTACCCAAAATCTATGGGTTCTCTTTGGATCAGGTTTAAAGAGAGGATATTTGTCAATACATCTTATAGCAGGTAAGTCGCTCTCCCCTCTAATCTACAAAATACCATTAATACACTTAACTTAAATAAATTCATATCTTAGATATTCTTGGCGATAAGGCTAGTGCTCTTCCGGGGTTACATGATTTTACAGGTGTGATAGTGTCTTTCTTTTTTTACAAAAGAAAAAAGTCTTCCTGGAAAACATGGAATTCTCAAAGCAATAATGCAATAACTAAAGCATTTAAAGCGAATTCATGCCCACTGCCTTCCATTCCGGAAAATGTCATAAAAAACCGTGGCATGGGGCTGTCATGAAAAGGGCACAATGTGGACACCTCTATGGTCTGTTCTTTCAAGTATTTGGGAGACTTGTCAAAAGCTAGCTAGATGCTCTCGTGAAATAGGATGCAGCAGTAATCCCTGTAAATGCAGAAGAAGTGACCTTCCATGTACTCTGCAATGCACTTACGGCAAAGACATGGTGCACCAACAAGATAACTGAAAAGTTAGTACTTTCAAATATTTTCATTTTAAATTAAAACCAATTCTTAACCATTCTTATTTTGTTTTGCAGTTTGGAAAATTCGGAAGACTAGGAATACCTACTATCCTTCCAATTATTTCATTGTTCTATGCTTTCATGAACTTAGCTACACCGCCATTTTGAATAGTCACCCGAAATTGTGATTTTATTTTGAAATGTGCTTTAATTTTACATCATTAAAGTACTAATTTGGTTTTTATTTGATTTTAATCCCATTAGTCCTATAAGAAAAAACTTCAGTAGCGCCATTTTGAAAAAATCCGCCATCTTGAATATGACGCCATTCCTGATAGGTTGCTGAGGGTCAAATTAAAATATTATATGTAAGGAAACTTTCTGCCAAGCGGTTTGCTTCTATCACGATTTGAAACGTTTTTCCGTGTACCGCTACGACTAATAGAATATGATAGGATCCGAAGAATTAACTTGAACACCTAAAGTAAGTATGTATTAAGACATTTTAAATTTTTTATCAAATTATCCACCAAATCTCTAAAAGCAAAAGCCAGGGGTGTATCTGGGTCTACACATTTCATTTTATATAAAAAAGAGCCTTAATATAATTATGTTTAATGGTACATAAGTCCTTTAGTTACTTGTGGCAAAGTTCCTTGTAGGTAAAGCAGATCTGAAACATGCTGTAGTATGTTTGCTCACGTAGAGCAAAAAAAAAAAAAAACTTGGAACAATAAATATTGCTTATTCTAAATTAATTTCAAATATTTTTCTCTCGTCAGTTCATAATACTTAAGGATCAAATCCGATTCGATCGTTGAGTCTCGAGACACCGTCTCTGACAATCGCAATCGCCTACGAATTGTTTTCGTTGGTCGCATCCTCGTATCGCGGGGCATCGCGCGTGTTGTCTACTGTCGCTGGCCGTTGTGCATGTCCTCCGACGCTCAGCGTCCAGACGCAAATTATCCTGGTGAAACGGCATCGGGACGCGTCCGTTGCAGCGCCGCGCCGCCTTTACCCGACGTCGTTCGATTTGTACATTCGCCGACAGATGGCCCGTGCGAGCGCCGGCTTCAGTGCAGCTCAAACTCCACGACCGTTAACATCGATTGCCCTCGGTCTGTCTCTGGTGCCACCGGTACTCACTTTTTTGGTACTATAATAATATACCCCGTGTCGATCCCGAAACCGTCGCGCACGAACCCAAAAAAAAATAAAAAATTAATTTTTAAAGAGTGTTTTTTTTTTTAAGTGTCAGTGATTTTTTTTTGTGAAAAAAAAATTCAAAAGTGCATCCAAAAATATTAAATAAATAAAAAAAAATGTGAGTGAGTTCAAGGGGGATAAATATTTGAACACATATGTCATTAAAATTGGGAATAATTTCCTGGTCGTACCGCCGTTTGGAAAATGATGAAGAATCACCTGCCAGGATTGAGACTAGTTTTATTATTGATTCGGTACCTGGATGTGAGAATTCCTCATCCAAGTTCGACGGAACCGTAGTGAATTGGTCGTCGCATTAAAAAAAAAAAAAAAAACATCCCCCTTTTTGACATCACCACCCAGACATGTGTAAAATATCGTTCAAAAAATGTATATGTTTTCTATTTCTAATAGTTATTTTAGTCGTTTTGAGTTGTTCTGGTTTCCCCATAGATAACTTAGCGATGCCAGACACTAAAAATAAATATTATTTTTTGAATAAAATGAGAAGTACACTTAATAGCGAATCAACACCAACACCATCGCCTCACAGGTTGCGGCATTTGAGACAGTTGAGGGCTCAAACGCGCGAACTACGAACTCAAAGATTAACGCCGATAACGGGCCATATCGAGGCCACGGTTTTTCAAAGAAACGATGCAAGTTCTACGAGTAATAGCGAACATTATCTTCAAGTTCCTTCGTCCCTTAGAAAAACCATAAACTCTCCATTTCCCTCTTCGATAATTTCCCGCCAACAACGATCGAAAAAACAGCGGCACGATTGCCAACCTGAACACTTTTCGACCAAAGCCTATAAATCTCCAATAGTCTTGCTAGTTAAAGTGCAAGGTATCGAACCGACAAATTACACGGTGAGCTTTAAACTGATAAAACAATTGAAGAATTTCTCACAGTTTCCCATACACGAGTTTTTGACTTTGCAATTTTCCAATCGTACGGGAAATTGCGATCGGGGACTGCCTAAGGGTAGAAGACATCTAGTCAAAGCGGATATTAAAGCATCCGGGGAGTACGTTTTGTTTCTTAACGTTTCTGGCATGCCTTCCTACTCGCCGGAAGAGATACCTCCAAGCCGTAGGTGGAAACTGAGGAAGTTCAAGATGAATATTTTGGAGAAAGTTTGCAGGTTATCCAGTAAGTGCAATTTTTGATATCATTTATGAATAGAATGTAAGTTCCTTAGGTATATTTTCTTGTGTAGCTAGCCATTTTCAGGTCGATTTGAAATGTTTATTTCTACGAGTTTTTTAGATAATATACAATCGAAAGTTGATTTACCTGGGGAATCACGCATATTTGTTTATTTTTATCTCGTTTATCTCCGATTCAACGTACTTATTTTTGGAATCTAAAAATTATCAAATTTTGATCAGTTGCTAATTAGAATCAAAATTATTATTGTTTTTAAAATAGTTATCAATTTACAGTACGGAAAGTTTAACTTGCATAAATTCTGTAAATGAAAAACTATTTTTTTTTAATATGTATAATGTAAAAACAGGTCACGAAACTCGAAACCTCCCACAACTTTCTGCAAATGGAAGAGTATAGCACATCGCTGAAAAAGGGCTTAAAAAAGAAATTTAATAAACTACTTACCTATTTACTTTTGCGATTATAGTGTAAGACGAAAAAAATTGAATACAAAATAAATTTTTGAGACTTCTTACAAACGGTTCAAAATGTTCACCATTTTTCACTCAACAAAATACGATGCATTTATTTCTGTTGATAGTTATTTGCTGAATTTCATGTATAATTGGTTGCCCGAATTTCTAATAACATTGGAAAACTTGATGAGTGCCAAATTATGATTAGCTAATTTTTGTGAAAAATTTCGAAGAAAAAAAAATTCAAGTGTCCACTGCTCCTTATCTGCTGACAAAATCCTTATCGAAATTCAAATTCATTCATTACATTAGCATTTGTGTTGAAATATGTTGAATCATAATGTGTAACGCGATGACGAAGATCTTCCAAATTTTCTGGTTCTATGAAATTAATTTGTGTTTCAAGTAGAGTTGGAAAGTTTCAGTAATTTATATTTTATTACGAACGTTCGCGAACTTTCGGGAATTTACGAGAATTTTGGGTAATTAATAACTAGCGCCATTCAATGTTACCACTTTTGTGGAAAATTTATAGTTACATAAAACTTTATAGAAACTCAAGAAACTGGGTGATACATTACATTAGAAAATAAATATTTATTCAACAGTATACTAAGGTAATGTATTTTCAGAATAGATATCATTATACTTTTTTTGTATAGGTTGTATTTTTTTAAATCAATTATATCACATTTACCCCAGAGCTCAGGGCAAATGTGATAATGGGCTGTATGTTTGAATTCAATGCATGTGTATTAATTATTAGGGCAAATGTATTAAATATAGAAAATTTGACGCATTTCGATTTTTTATTCATCAAAATATCTCAAATATTACAAAAGTTATAAACTTTTTAAACTTAGAAGCAGCTTTTTAAAACATTAACAAAACATTACAAAGTTTAAGAGTACCTACTAGTCAAAAGGTACAAAACTATAAATTATAGACCCCAAAGCAAACTGGGAAGTCAAGCTTCGGGACATATTTTAGTTTTTTCTGTGTCGTTGGCATTGGAGTTTGTTTGATTGCAGATAACAAAAGATCTTCAAATGAGACACGCTGCTGGCAAATTTTTGATGGTCCTGGTAACTTCTTCTTGCCTTGCTTTGCTCCACGTATACCTTTGATTCGGGAATGTAATGTAACGTAAGGAATTCCATCAGAAACTCTGTAAACTGTTGTTCTTTTGGCTTCATCAATAGCTAATACTAGATTGTCCTCCGTATATTTTTTATTATCGGTGGTCTTTCTTCTGTAGTTGCGTACCATAGCAATACTGAAACAATCGAGGGGCAAATGTGATATACTATAACACTATTTCCCCGCCCCTATAAAACACTTTTACCCCAAATGCAAAAATTTCTGGGGCAAATGTGAGATAGTATCAAAAGTTGAGAAACTCTTGAAATGTTGGTAAAATTAACACACTAGTTCCAAACAAGCGTCGATTGACCCTACTTCAAGTAATAATATCTTACTTACCACTTTAAATGAGAATTTCACACACATAAACAGAAAAACTACGCAACTCGCAAAATTATTATAAATGCGCGCCTAATAAAAGCTATTGAATGACTGACGAAGCATGCGCCGCAGGTGAAATTTCAAGTGGTGGGAGTGTGAACAGATATGGTGATAAGACATTAACATGGATGGCATTGGTTGATTGTCACTGTTTAATTTTTTTGCGGGACTATAACACAATTGCCCCTTTTACACATTTACTCCGCTGCACCTCAATAAAACATTTAAATTAAAATGTTTTGTATCAAAACCAAGACACTGGTTTGATAAAAGAACCATTAAAAGAACTTAAAAAAATCCATATTTTTTATTTGAATAATATTTCGGCATTTAGGTTAGCGCACGCCAGACCATCTAAAAAGCTAAACTTGAAACAAATCGTTGTACTGATATTTTACAAGTCTATGCTAGTTAACAGTGTTGAGACCTGAACAACGAATAACTTTGTTATGTATTATAAAACAAAATTATTTGGTAATGTTCGCTTTGTAAATTCTCGATAACTTTCCGATAAATTCTCCTCAACATTCTCGTATTATAATTTCCCCAAATGGGAACTTTCGCTCCAACAAGAGAACTTTACCGTAAATCACGGAATTTGTAGGAACGTTCGCTCGGTAAAGTTCACTACTCCCAACATTAGTTTCAAGGTATGACCCGTTTGAAAATCTAAAAGAATTTAGATCTGACATTGATGGCCATGCAGTAGCACCCCTCTTTCCTTTCAATCCACTTTGATTAGGGTAATTGCAAACAATTTGGGCATAATGGGGTATTATACCAGTTTGCTGAAACCATAATATATTCCTGCTGTTTGGAAATAAAGCATTAAAAGCCTTATTGCAAAAAATTCAAATTAACTGATCCATTCATAGTCCAATCAAATGGTAATTTTTTGGTAACATAAACGCGGTAGAAGGTTTTTCAACGGAATTATAGATTTTTTGGGATGCTGAATACGAATCTGAATTTTGCTGCCCCGTAGCAGAACCGGCCCAGGCCGAAAATCGCGAAAAATCTCGAAATTTTCGGACTTTTCCTGGTTTTCTGGGCATATCTTGCGAACGACGCATTGTACGGAAAATGTGATGGTATTCAAAGGTGAAAGGCATAAAATTCTGCGTCGAATGACTTACCTAACCTTGTCACTATTAAATGTATAAGCCCGCCAACGTGAGTCGGAAATAGCCAATTTGAATGAACTTTTGTGAAAACTGCAATAAACTTACTTTTGGATGTCAGTGATTTCGAAACAATCACTCTAAGTAAAAAAAATGTTGAGGAAGTACTTAACCAAATATTGAGTTCATTGAGCACCAAAATTTTGAATTTGGATCAATATACAGGGTGTCCCACGGTGGATGGCGTATTAGACGTTTATGGAGAACTAAAAAGCGGATCATTTTGAAAATTTGGCAACCGGGATAAACGACCATGATCTACACTTTAAAAATATTTTTGACCATGCGGTGTTGCCGCTTCTACTCTAAACTAGTGGCAAAATCACTATTTTAAATGGAATACCCCGTATTAAATTGCATATTTGGATTCCACATAAAATTCTGAGCAGATTTCATGTGATATACCCTATACCTAAGTTCAACTGTTTTGGAAATATTGACAGTTGAAAATTGACTTTTTGCAACTTTGACAGGCTGTAGAACCGGAACGGTTAATTTTAGAGGAAAACCGATTTTACATTTCTATCTTAGATTTTTATAAACTATCATTTGACACCATCTTTGAATTAAATCCATGATTAAAAATTTCAGTTAAATTTAATCTCCGGTTAAGTTCAAAGTTGGTGTCAAATGATAGTTTATCAAAATCTAGGATAGGAATGTGAAATCGGTTTTCCTCTAAAATTAACCAATTAGGTTTTACAGTCTGTCAAAGTTGCAAAAAGTCAATTTTCAACTGTCAATATTTCCAAAACAGTTGAACTTAGGTATAGGGTATATCACATGAAATCTGCTCAGAATTTTACGTAGAATCCAAATATGCAATTTAATACGGGGTGTTCCATTTAAAATAGTGATGTTGCCACTAGTTTAGAGTAGAAGCGGCAACACCGCATGGTCAAAAATATTTTTAAAGTGTAGATCATGGTCGTTTATCCCGGTTGCCAAATTTTCAAAATGATCCGCTTTTTAGTTCTCCATAAACGTCTAATACGCCATCCACCGTGGGACACCCTGTATACGCATATACTGATCATTTCTTCATTTTCCCTCTAAACGCTTATGTGACAAAATAAAGGGGTCCAATAAATAAAAGTCTTCGCCTGTCAATATAAAACCCCCTACTTCTCAAACCCCACTTGTCAACCCTAAATTACTTCTTCCTCCATTTTTTGTAAGTCTGACTTGAAGATTTATAAGTATTATGTATGTACATGTAATAAGAAGTAATCAAATCAAATCAATCAAATTAAAAAGTACTTTTTCTACTACCGTGTGTACTTTACGCACTATTCAGAAGACTTAAATTTCACTTCACGCACTAGTGCGTAAAGTAATTCACTTCACACACTGGCGTAAAGTAATGTCAATGACAAATGTCGACATTGCCAATTTGGCATTTTTCTGGTAAATTACTTCACAGCACTTTTGAACACAATTTGATCAGACTATTAGGTTTTCGTTGAACAGTATTGGCACCATAAATTATCCAAGTCCAAACATTAAGATTATGAGAACGTTGAAGAGTGTCATTTTCTCTCAAATGAGAATCTTCATCAGCTCAGTAGCGGCAGCTTTGTCGATTTAGGTATCCAAAGGCTTAATTACATATTTAACTTTGAAGTGGCACCATATGAGTAAAGGATCCATTCTTTTGATATAGGTACTGTTTTGATCTAGAGCATTTAGCATTATTCCGGCGATCAGGATCATCTTGTGCTAACTCCTCTGGTGCATTTGCATTTTCAAGGATTTTAGGAAATTGAGTATAAAATGATGTATTATTAGTATAGGTAGGTACCTAGTATTATTATTATTGCGAGCTTGTTGTCTAGCTGACGTTACAGTATTGTCTTGGTAATTAAGTCATACAGTATTCTTATTCATTCTCAATGTCGTTTTTCTTAGAACATCCCTCATAAGTCCTATATTTCAGGATATCTGGCTTGTATTTTACCATTGATACCTTAAAAAATGCAGATTTTGAATGAAGGTTGAAATTAAGAACTCACCTTGTTTTTTTAGGCAACTGAGCTATTTATTGAATTCGTGATCTGTCACTATATCTCAAGACTTTTTGGAGGCTCCGGGTAAATAAGGCATATTAAAAAATGAAACTTAGATGCTTTTCTATGTGTTAAAAACTACTTTCAAATTAAATTCTTTGGAAGCAAACAAAATGAAAAAGGTAAAAATTTCAATACTTTCAATGAACAAACAATGCGCTCCAAATCTTCGTCCAAATCACAGCCACTGTATTCAAAATAGTCATTTTTTATAAGTAACTGAATTCTTTTTTCAATGCCCGTTCTAACGAGGTACTCCCACGGACACTATTCCATCTGAAAAAAAGTTGGGGATGGCATCAACTTTTTAGTTAATTAAGGCTTGTGTTTATAAAAATACCTGTCCTGTCATAAAGGTACCAAACTAAAATTAAAGTTTTCAAATAAAAAAATGGGGAAAATAGTTTTTCCTAAACCGAATTCAATCGAACTCATCAGATTTTGGTTATTTCTTATCAAATTACGTATACCTATAAAATAGAGCTGCTGCTAATTCAAACTATTCCCATTGAGGGTTAACAAAGAAGGCACTTAATTCAACCCTATAATAAGGTATGCCAAAGTGAGTTCTAGGAAAATTGGAAGGAAAATTAAGTTAACTGATGCCAGTGCTATAATTTATCATTTTTATTTATTCCACTCAGTGGACATTGAATAGGTACCAACATACGGCATGATTTTTCCTAGGCCAAAATTTAAAAAAATAAGCGTATTCGCCATACCTTCGTTCAGCCACTGTTTTCTTTCCAATAGTTGTGGCCACACTTTTCTTCAAACTTTTCATTCTTCCCAGAATCATCAAGTTAAAGGTTGAATAATGGAATGTATTTCCTTTTAGTAGGGTTAAAATAAATAGCCAATTGATTAATTAATAAACAAAATCACAATATTTACATTAGAACAGCTGATTGTCTGATTCGATTAGATGATGACCGGTACCAACTTAATTTAAGATAGTCCCATGCCCAACTACCATCAAAGTTCCCCAGAACCCTTCACCTTGGAGTTTTGACACAACCTTTTTAAAGGACATTGAAGGGACAAGCAGAGGTCGTTCAGGTAGAGGACTTTCCACGATTAAGTGTTCGGGAAAATTCGTGAGGCACATTTTGCCGATTTCTGAGATGTGCAGTTTTCGCTCATAAATCTAGGGTGGCTAATCCGTTATTTTAGCACCAAAGCGCCTTGCGCGGATTTCTTTGTGAGCCGAAAAAGGGAAACGTGATCAATTGTTTGTTTCTAAAGGCCAAAGTATTTTGGTAAGTGGTTTTTCTTATTAGTCTTCTCTGTGTTTCTCTATTACCTATGTATAAGCATAGTTTTCTGTAATTATATGGTTAAATTCCTAATATTGGACATACCTACCTATCGCTCCACGCCCAGTCTCATCATTTGTTTCAGGCTTTTAGTCGTCACGATTCAGTTCTTAACTTTGAGTAAAAAATTAAACGTTAAGCTTACTGTATATTTCAAGTCGTACCTCCTGTCTCCAGCCTCA